ACACACACACACACACACACATATATGCACACACACCACCACCACGATAATTGTTAATGCCTTTCTGAAGAGTGGTTTGCCTCCACCCTAAAGGGTTTGTACATTGTACATAAATAAAAAAAGAAAAATTACAGTACAAGTAATTCACAATATATGCAATGGGAATGTTGCTTTTCTTCTATTAATAAATTCGCATTCAGAAACATCATTTTGCATCACTGAGAGGCACTTCATTTCATCCTTCATAAATGTATACCAAATCATTTGACAGAGACAATATAATTGGATTTCTAGACCTTTTCCAGGATAAGTACATAACTGTTTGCCTTACCAAGACATCATACGAACTCTTCGCTCAAATACAGAGTTTTGGAAGTAGCCCAACTCAAAACCTTTGTGGCAGATAATCATGGGCTTAAGTCAAGGAGGCAGATGTCATAATCTGACAAGCTCTTAAATGGGGGTATGGAGAATCATGTCAGCAACATCCTTTAGGGCAGGGGTCTCCAACCTTGGCAATGTTAAGCCTGGCAGACTTCAACTCCCAGAATTCCCCAGCCAGCAAACAAACCTGACTGTGGAATTCTGGGAGTTGAAGTCTTCCAGGCTTAACGTTGCCAAGGTTGGAGACCCCTGCCTTAGGGAATAGATGCAAGTGTGCTGTCTTTGTCAAATTTCTGCTCTGTCAAATGAACGAAGGGCCTGGAGATCCGCTTCATGATCCACTTCCAAATCTCTACCCTAAACGCTTTAGTGGATCACTTTAATTTCTTATGCGCTCTAAGTGTACAGGTTCTAAAAATAAGACATTTGCTATAAATAAAGTGTCCTTTAGTGGTAGTTTATACTAAAAATAGTCCTTGGTTTGAGATAATCATTAAAATCAGGTTTAGCATTGAAGGCAGCAGCTAACTAGGATTAGCGATGGCAACACAACTCTGTTTTTGGTCTTTCCCTGCTTGGTTTGCAGTGTTGCAAATACTTCTCAAGACTTTCTTCTCAAGGAGGTTGGAGTCTCCTCTCTTTATAGATCTGATTCGGGGAAAATTCCCTACACTTGTCTAAAGAAAACCATCATCCTCTACATTTCAACTCGCTAGTACCATTTATGGGGGAGGGTAAGCCTTTTCACCTGGAGTGGGAATGCACCTGGCAAACATTGTTTTAGCGCCACTACGGTAATCTTTTTTTCTTCCCCCGTGGAAATTATAGAGGAAAGTAATAAAAATTTCCACAGGAAAAGCAATCCGAACACATAAAGTGCAGAAAGACCTCTAATAATTATTAAGCAGTACCAGAAATTTCTTTGATAAAAACCCATAAGCAATGACCCCCTTCTGGCATTCCTGCCCTTCACTCTCCATTCAAAATAGTAAAAAAAAAAAATTCATTCAGTGCATACAATATAGTTATAATAAGTCATAAAATACTAAACAACCCCCACCCCACCCCCAATATTATTGCAAATTCTGTCCAATCTACAAGAGTTAAAGGCGAAAATCCACATTTGGTGTGTGGAAAGACAAGACAAATGTTCTTTCTTTCTTTCGGCACAGGAAGTTGTGCAAAAGACGACGACTTTGGTCCTTGGTACCTAAACTCCCAAGTGCAGAGGGTGATGTGCAGTGGTGATGGATGGTCCACAGGATTGCCATGTCCGTGGAGTTGTGCAGTCAATGGTGGAAGCGTCATGCTCCTGCTACCAACGGCCGCTCACACTGGCAATGTCCGAATGGTATTGATGTGACAGCCGCCCGCTAGCGCCGCCTTCCAGAAACGAGGCTCGGACATTAGAGGGGTCAAAGAGTTTTCTTCGGTTTTTGTTCAGTTCTGCATAGGGGGTGGGACGGGGGTGAAGAGGGGAGAGAAGAGAAGCTTCCCTTCAAAACCTGGACACCAGATACAATCTCAGCAGGAGACATTTTTTACTATTTCATAGTGCGGGGAAACTGAGTCCAATCAAATGCAATATGTCCCTGTCCAGGTGCAAACAATAGCAATGGCACTTAGTGTCAACTTTGGAAGACATATTGACACCAGACGCTTCCACACTGCCACCTTCTTGAGCCTGGAAAAATGGGAGGGGGGGAATTTCTTGGAGTGCATGTGGTCAGACATAATAGCATTCTTCTTCTAAGTCAAGGTCATGTTATTTCTGCACCTGGGTGAGGGGACGTCTCAAGTTGGGACGGATGGTGATTGGGGCATGTGATGTGGTGATGGGTACAGGGGATGGATTTGTAGTGTTTACTTATTGCAAGGAAACCCGGAACTTTCAAATTCGGGATTCCCCAGATGTGCCAGTTTACTATCCAATTAAAACAGAACTTTTGAAAAGATGTCTGTCTCAAGAGTTATTGTTGGAGTTGAGGTTTTCTGGAACGCTGGCACTCAGACTGATACTTCGTAATGCCTTATAGCCCTATCTGAGCAGTTTGCAATATTGCCCCCAACAATCTGGGGTCCTCATTTTACCAATCTCGGAAGGACAGAAGGCTGAGTCAACCCTGAACTGGTCAGGATCGAACTCCTGGCAGTGAGCAGAGACAGCTTTGCAATATTGCATTCCTACCATTGGGTCACTATGGCTCATCCAGCCAGATTCTCTGTAGTTCTCCACGAAAACCACTTGTGAATAGTCTTAAGGAGAGGCTTTATTGCACCTGTGTTACAAGAATCTCACCAGAGTGACTGCATTCCCTCGGGAATGGTCACAGGAGGCTTCCGGGATTCTGGGGGAGCTCAGACCTGTGCCACTTCCTGCAATGCAAAGACTCCAAGCTTGGCCCCTCCTTAACACCTCCCTCCTCTCTAGCTGGAGATTCTACCACAATACCCCCATTAGATATAAAATAATTTAGGATAGATTTGGATCAGAAAAGGAAATAGATCCATCACAGGTCTATTGAGACAATTGTTTTGGTTAATTATGGGTTGAAAATAAGAGAGGCATCAAGCTGCGGATTTCAGAGCAGGTTGCTAGCACATGAGACATACCTGGCTATCTTCAAGGGGAACCTATAAAGACATGGGGCTTTATAGGTTCCCCTTATGGGGTTTTCCATGTTCCTGAATATAAACTATTATAGATGTTAACATCAAGATAGAAACCAAACATCAGGAAGCTGTTTGTTACAATCTTATGGTAGGCGAAACCTAGTAAATTTCCTAACTTCGCCTACCAGAAATAACTCCCATGGAAATCAATGGATCTCACATTGAAAGATACACATGATTGGACTTATGAGAAGAGAGAGAGATTAAGGCTGGCAGGATAAGGGTGGACAAGAATATAACTATACACAGGGGTAACCTTGAGTTTCTGAAAGGAGACATTCCATATCCTGTGTTATGAGAATAACTCCGTCAAGGAAACGAAGGGAAAAGAGAATTCTTACAAACTGCACAAGGTAGTGGTTTTTCTTTACCTGAGATTGCAAGAAGCATTTTCCTTCGTGCACCAAAAGTGGTAATTCCAAGCTCTTTCAGATCCTGATCTGTCAGAGTGAGGAACGTCTGAAGATCAATCTAGGAGAAACCACAACAACACCACACTCTTAAGATGCTCTTCCACTGAGAGGGCAGAGGACTTTTGTGGGAGAACATTCTGCTGAATATATTTTGTATATATTTGGTTACAAAGGACAGAAGCAAAACCATTTTTTCAGTTCCTGGTAATTACGACTATTAATAATATCCCAAGCATGTTTAAAAAAAATCAAAGGAGCAACATTTTTATACCAAATGCAACTTATTATTTGACAGCCTAAATAAATACTAGAAGAGGATTTAGAAGGATTCACCAGATGAATCACCTTGGAATTCTTCATGGCATAGAATTCCTTCAAATCTCGTTTGGTGAGTCATAAAAAATTGGCTGCCAGAACAATTCAAAAGATATTACTTGTGTTCTAAAATTAGTTTATATACATTGTTTATAATTTATATATATATTAGTTTATAATCATATCTGGATCTTTTCTGAGTGGTTGCCAGTGAATTAGTATATGTTATTTTCTGAAAGACAATCCCTTTTAGCTATTTGTGGCAGTTTCTGAACAAATTTTAAAACTACTGAGCCATTATTGGTAATTTATGCCCACAGGTTAATTGTCTGCATGTCCCAAGGCTGATGAACTACTGTAACACAAAAAAATAATTTGTTTGTTATATTAGTATTGCAAAATATTAGATAAATGCATTTCTCTTTGGAACAGTGATATTTAAAAGTTAAGGAAATCGTATCAGATGAAAAACATATAACAAAGTCATATTAATTTTTATTCTGGCATGCTTGTGTGCAAACACTGCAAACACACAGAAGCAAGGATCAGTACACACAAACACATACTTGTGACTCACATGTCTGCATGTATGTTTGCATAAGTTTCAACTACCTTTATCAACTTTGCATCTATACAACTGAGTGAATTAACACACAGCATGAGGATTCACAGGAAATTCCATACGTTTTCTGCAGTCCTGTCAAGGTATCCCATTCTGATCATTTTTTGATGGCCACTAGTCTTATATATTTGCTTTTATTTATTTATTAAATTTATTGACTGCCTGTATTATCACAAGGTAACTCTGGGTGGTTGTTCTTCACTCCATCACTTGCCTTCCTGCTCTGAGTAGCATTTTCCAAGTAGTGAGTTATGGGTTTGATAACATCCAAATCAGACTCCCATTCCCTCCAGAGAGCTAATTTTTAGGTATGATTACAAACAATGGAAATTGGTTTGAGAATGCAGAACTGGTTCTCTGAACACAGCACTTCAACAATGTTGAGGCATGAAGCTAGCTATTCCTATTGCCAAGGAATGAATCTTGGTTATCAATGAAAGTGCAACAGATGGGAGCCATTTTGTTTGCAAAGCAATCAAAATAGTCTACAACAGGGGTCTTCAAACTCAACAGCTTTAAGACTTATGGACTTCAACTCCCAGAATTCCTCCTCCAGTCATGTTAGCTCAGGAATTCTGGGAGTTGAAGTCCACAAGTCTTAAACTTGCCAAGTTTGTAGACCCTTGGTCTACAAGGAACCATGACCAACACCCCCAAGCCTTTCACAAACACTGACCTCTTGTTGCTGAAATATGTCTGTGTATTTACCCAGGCCCAGTTTGCTGAATAATTCAGGTAGGTCAGATCCTTTAAACAGACTGTTCAGGTTACAGCCATTGCTTCCAATCAGGGAAGAGATGCAATCCATGTAGTTGCTACTGCTGAGATAATGCTCACCTAGAAATTCAAGAGACAATAAGTTTCTAGTTAGGTTCAGTTCGCTTTAGGCTGGAGGAGCCTCTTCAACTGCTTACATTCCGGTACTTGCAATTGCCAAGAAGTACTGAACTGAATCTCTAAAGGAGAATATTTATAGATCAGTGTTGAAATGAGAAATCATCAGTGATCACTGATGATGTTACCTAGTTAGGGTAATTAAATGTCTGCAAAAAAACCCAAGCAAGCTCAGTGAGCACCAAGGACCTCTCAACTGAATATCTGCCTGCGGTTGAATTACCAAGCTTTTACATCTTTGTTTTCATGGAAATAGAACACAAGTATCGGTCAGGGTAAGGCAAAACTTACATGCCACCCCAAATATGGGAGACGCTGCTTTGGAGCACCCCAACCAATTCTATCTCTTGTGATGTGACTTGGGAGAATAAAACCATACGACGACATTTGGACATGGAGAAGAAGAAACCAAGTCACCACGGGGAAGAAATGTGACACCAAGCCATGACTGTCACCAACTTTCTAATGTTTTTAATAGTATGTAGCAGAATTAGGGGCGGCACGATAGCAGTATTCTAGAATTTGAGGGAAGAGAAGGGTCAAATGCTACAACGGACAGAGGGCAGAACAAGAAACAATGGTTGGAAACTCATCAAAGAGAGAAGCAACCTGGAATTAAGGAGAAACTTCTTGACAGTGAGAGCAATCAACCAGTGGAACAGCTTGCCTTCAGAAATTGTGGGTGCTCCATCACTGGAGGTTTTCAAGAAGAGACTAGACAGTCACTTATCTGAAATAGTATAGCTGTCAGCCTTCAAGATCTTTTCTACTGCTTTGCATCTTTCGGCTGCCATAAGTAATGGGGGGAGGGGTTGTATCTGGGAAGAGAGCTGGAGGTGTTACATTCTTGTGTTGTATAAATGAGGAGTGGGGGGGGAGTATAAATTCTTGCTCTTAAGTTTCTATTCCTTGCTTAGCCTTTCCTTTCTCTGCACAATTGCGAATCTTTATCAAAATATGTCAAGGTCAACGGACAGAGGCCTCATCATCACCTGAAGATGCCCACATGACCATATCCAGAACTTTTAATTGGAAGAATCTTTTGAACTTTGGGGGGTGGGAACAATTCCATCCCTTTGTATATGTGATCTGCGCGCCTAATTTCTTAGATTCAGAATTCTACCTGAAGCTACCACTTCAAATTTCAGTAAAAGATTTCTTTCCTCTAATCTATGGAGTCTAAGTATTTCTTTCTTGGATTTTGAATGGAGCACAGACTGACAATAGCTTTCCTGCTTGAGCAGGGGGCTGGGCTAGAAGACCCCCCAGTTCCCTTCCAGTTCTATTCTATTCTAATAGCCTATCATTGACAATTATAGCTTGATGCAACTAACTGACCTTAGTCTAAACCAGGGGTGACAAACTCAAGGCCCAGGGGCCGGATTCGGCCTGCAGTGCCTCTGCCAGGGAAAACGGGGCTCCATTTTCCCTGGCAGAGTGTTGCAGGAATCTGTTGCAGCCGAAAATGGAGCTTGGGAGCCCATTTTTTTCTGGCAGAGCACAGGCACCCCCGACATGAGTGACATCGAGCTGGCCACGCCCACCCTGGCCCTACAAGTTCAAACACAACCCTCAATAAAATGTGGCCCTCAATAAAATCAAGTTTGACACCCTTGGTCTAAACCCAAGCTGGGGTTTATTCAAGTCAGTGGCTCTGCGTGAGAACTCTGACCTAACCCAACAAGGATAAATCCTTACTTGATTTCTGTTTCCGTTTAGGGCTCCCGATGGAAGGAACGAAGTCGCCTGGAGCAGTTGAACTAATGCCGTTGTGATCTCTCCAGTTGTCGGAATCGCTCCCGCTCCCCAGGTGTTCCCGGCTGTTGGATCGGGAGAGAGACATGGAGGAACCCTGTAAAGAAGTCAGCAGGAAAAGGTGTGACCAGGAGAGATGGGGATACTCCCCACTTGGCTCTACTCAAGGGCATGATGCCAACGGTGCAACCCATTAGCTTCAATTAATGAGCAATATTTTGTTTAAAAGATATTATTGTCAGAGAAGTCTTAAGTACCTTAGGTAAAGGCATACGCAAATAAAGAATTAATTTGTTAATTCTTAATTAATTAATAAATTTGTTAATTAATTTGATTAGCAGCACTCAGTATTGTCAAATTAATTTTACTTTGTGGTAAAATTAATAAACTGGGTCCTACTATATTGTCCCAATTCAGACTGATCCTTTTTTTAAACCAGTGTTTCTAAGACTGTGAACATTCTGAAAACAACCCAAGGCAAGCAGGAAAAAACAAAGGAATAGATGGTTTTTGTTTTTTAAAAATTATTTTTCCCCACATGTTTCAAGTTGTAGGAAAAACAACGGATGGCCGAGTCTCTAAAAAAAACAGCTTACAGAGCAGAGAACTCAGGCTGTGGTTTGATCCTGGGGTGACAGCCAAGTGACTCAGATACAGTCTACACACACACATTGTGTGTGTGTGTCCACTAATAAGCTCCTAAGGAGAAAGAGAAAAATGGCCGAAAAATAACATGAAACTCAGATATTTATGGAATAAACAAAATACAATGAATTAAGTTTGCCTCCCACAAGCAGAAAAACATGATAACACAATCTGCAGTTTCACAGAGGCCTTGAGAGGTCATGCAAAGGACACCTTTGTCAGAGCCTTCCTGTCATGCCCCTGTCAGAATCTGATTCGGAGGGGTAGGCCGAGCAGCTGACAGGGAGTCGGAATGTGGCTCCGGTGGCTGTGGAAGAAACTGGGGAAGGGCAAAGGCCAGCTGGGCAGAGCAGGGGAGAGGGAATTCAGAGGAAGACCCAGGCCCACCCCCTCTTCATCCTAGGGCATGCAGGGAGGAATGGAGATGAGAGCAATGTGAGTTATGTGGCTTATGGGGGAGGAAAGGGCCCTGATTCCCTTCATTAGCTGCAGCTGGGAACACAGTGTTTAAAAAGGGAAGCTGTGCACAGTAAGTTGTTGGGAGCAAATTGTGAATTATCTGGTATAGTGGAGGCTTATCTGGGTTCCTGGTGTCTTCCCAACTGTGTGTGATTTGCTGAGCTTTCAAGTCTGCAATTCCTTCTCCTGCCCTGTCCAGTTAATTGCTGCAGTGTGGTTTGTGTGGATTTTTAGTTATAGTTTGTATGTACTTTGTTTTCAGACTGAATTTCCTCCCCTTAAATAAAGACTGTTCTTGGGAGAGTTTTTTCTCCAGCCGAAGGTAACTGGACATTGGGGGCAAAGTTGGAGGTACTAAAGGGACTTTTCTTACTTATGTGACTGTGTTGCCTTTGTGCCATATCCCGGGTCATCACAGACCTTGGAAGTTCCAGCAGCAAACCTTTATATATTAACAGAGTTGGAAGGGATCTGGAAGGTCATCTAGTCCAACCCCCACTACCCAAGCAAGAGACCCTACGCCATTCCTGACAGAGGGCAATCCTCAGACACAACCTGCTCAAAGTTCAGACCAAAAGCTCCAATGTCTTCTTTTTTTCTATGCCTATCACACCCTAAAGTTTTGCATACCTCATAAGTGGTCGACATCGATGGTTTGTAGGCTACGTGGTTGGCCCTTCTCAGTTCCTTAATGGTTTCGGCCGGCATCGATTTGGAGAAGCCCAGCCCACTCCAGGTGTTGGTGGGTGTCCTCACTTCCGTAACAACTGGCTTTTTCAGCATAGCTTTAAGGGGGCAGGAAGCATTTTTATGAGCATCAGTATCTTTTTTCTTTTTCATAAAAGGCAGCCAAAATTCTTTTGGCAGTGGATGGTCAGATGCAGAAAATCTTCCACTCTCTGCTTTGACTACTTTCCAAATATTTTAAACATCATATTTCAGTTTGTATTTCTGAGCACACAGCAAGAGATGAATATGCTTAATATGTGATGTGGCCTTGAGCACATATACATATTTCTACATGTGTACATATTGCGTACATACAGTATTTACTCACAGAAAGTACATTAATTCCTATAAATTACATTAAGGTTAAGCTTGGAGGATATATAGATCAATGTTTTTATAAATCTAAAAGAGTCATTCTAAAGTTTCAGGAGATGGAAAAGAGAAACCTGAAATCTTTGGAAGTAGAAGAAAACTTTTTTTAAAAAAAAAGCGGTAAAGCTTTTCAAAGGTAGAATGTGGCAAGATGGAGCAGCTGCATTGAAAAAAAGGAAAGTAAGTCAATAATCTTTTGTTATTTTTTTATTTCTTATCTCAATTTCAAGGGAGAAGTAGAGGCCAAGCCCAAAAGCATGGGAGAAAGCTACCAAGCAAATATTTGATGGAAGGATTTTGCTAGCCGAGAACAGGATAAATAAAGGATGAAACTCTGTGTTATAAAAATGGAAGAAGTCATGTGTTTAGACCAAAAACAACCCCACTCTCTTTTCTATAACAAAGTACTTAAAATCTGCATCTTTCTGCGTGCCCAATAAAGAAGGCTACCTACTCATGTTTGATGGCTGAAGATCAGAAAAGGAAGCAGAAAAACTAAGGATCTGTTAGAAGCCTTAAGGCATCTGTCAGAAGCCATAAGGACATCAGAATGGCATCAAATGACCAGCAAGACTGGCAAAAATTTACCCAAATATGAACCCCGAATGCTGGAAGTGCAAAAATAAACAAGGTACCTTCTTTCACATGTGGTGGTCCTGCACTAAAGCAAAAGAATACTGGAATAAAATTAGAATATGGTTGCAAGAAATTACTGGATTTCAAATAGAATGTAAGCCTGAAATGTTTTGCTAGGGATAATCAGAGGAACATCTAAAAAAGAAGTTGAATACCTCATAACACACATTCTAACAGCAGCAAGAATAATCTATGCCCAAAGTTGGAAATTAGATAGCACTCCTGCAGACAGTATCATAAAGAAAATTATGGATTGTGCAGACATGGTGAAACTCACATTCGAATTACAAGAGGGGGAAGAGAGGGAATACTATACAGTCTGAAAAAAATGGAACAATTTGGTTGGATGATAGAACAGCAAGAATAAAAAATAATACAAACAAATAAATGTATATGTAAATATATAGGTAGCTAGTTAACAAAAACTGGGAAAGTAGATGTCAAAACATTGTAAAAATTGTATCGTGTTTCTCACAAAATAAGGCCGGGCCTTATTTTTTTTTGACTCCCCAAAAAACGGCTAGGCCGTCTTTTTGGGGGTGACTTAATTTCCTCCCCCACCTAGAGCGGCCCATACGCACATACCTCGCCACGAGGCCGCTTCTATCGGCAGACGAAAGCTCCCTTGAAGGCAGAATCCCCAGCCGCTTCAGGGCGTGGTGTGGCTACCCGTGTCCCCTCGCCTTTAGGCAGTCTTTTTTGGGCAATGGAAGCTCCCCAAGTGCAGTCACCAGCCACTTCGATCGGCCGGTAGAAGCGGCCTCAGGGCTAGCGCGCACACACACACACTCCCCTCACCGCGAGGCCGCTTCTAGCGGCAGACGAAAGCTCCCTTGAAGGCAGAGTCCCCCACCGCTTCAGGGCGAGGGGTGGCTGCCCGTGTCCCCTCACCATTAGGCAGTCTCTTTCAGGCGATGGAAGCTCCCCAAATGCAGTCACCAGCCAGTCCGATCGGCTGGTAGAAGCGGCCTCGGGGCCAGGGGAGTGTGTGTGTGTGCGCTCGCCCTGAGGCCGCTTCTACTGGACGATTGAAGTGGCTGGTGACTGCACTTGGGGAGCTTCCATCGCCCAAAAGAGACTGGCCTAAAGGCAAGGGGACACAGGTAGCCACGCCACGCCCTGAAGCAGCTGGGGACTCTGCCTTAAGGGAGCTTCTATCGGCTATCGGGGTATTCTAGCCTAGGCTACCTGCAGGGCACTCCTAAAGGCAAGTTTTCTCCCCATCCCCCCCGTCCTTCCCCCCCATTTCTGTTCACCTCGTGTTGTTCTAACAAACGACGTGAGAAATGGCGGGGAAACACATGGTTTGAATAGGCCTAAATTTTGGGGCCGCGGCTTAATTTCACCTCATGCCTAGAAATCATGCTGGGCCTTCCCATTGGTGGAGGCCGTATTGTTGGAGAAACATGGTATTTGTGTTGTTTTGTTGTTGTGTTGTTTTATATTTGTGTTGTTTTTAATTGTGTAAAATTCAATAAAATTTTATGTTTTTTAAAAGAAGAACGGCATCAAATGGCTCATGATATCATTGCAGTGATGCCATTTGGGCCAGTTGAATTATATAGCCATTAAATCTGTACACTGAGATGTACAGTACGTCACACCCTTCTTGAATCATGAAGGCTTCTAGGAGGCTTCTATGGGTGGAGAGTATTGAAGGACTGCATAATTGGCACACTCCAGGGCACACCGTTCTCTAGCCTACCCACCTCATCTTTCTGTAACTTTCATGATTCTTTCCTTTCCATGAGTCAAAAATACATACAACCTGCTGATGTGCACCTATCCCAAATGTGCCGGCTGAATGGAGAAACATGGTTGGCCTGAAACCCTGTTTGTCTTTGTGGATGGTGAATAAGGATGCCTAAAGCTTTCAACCCTTCCGAGTGGCATGAAAAAAGGATGTACACTGCATGAGAAAAACAGCTCCTAAGACCTGTGCCTTTTGAAGAGTGAGAAAGGCAAATAGAAATAGGAATATTTTTTGAGAGAGCTGAATGCAACAAGCTTTCATTTTAATGTATGCTGATTAGTGTACATTTAAAGTGACAATAAAGTTCTATTCTATTCTATTCTATTCTCTCTTCTCTATTCTATTCTATTCTATTCTATTCTATTCTCTCTATTCTATTCTATTCTATTCTATTCTATTCTATTCTATTCTATTC